GCACCACTTTGCAAAACATGGCATTAAGACAAGTGCTTTCTGAGCAAGTTATACTTTCAGTTCATTTACTGTCTGTGTTGATTTGATCACAGCAGTGAGACTCAAATCAGTCACTCAAGTCAGATTACTACAAATATGCTGAAATGCAAATATTATATCCAAGCTAAGCCTTGAAAAAACGGGTTAAGAGGAGAACAGACTTTTACAAGTGTCTCAAGTTCAGCAGTACTTGGATATACTTCCCCAATCCTTTGAAACCAGTACTATTCTTAACACTGCAGGCACTTCACAGTCTGTGTGTTCATTTCCTTCCCCACACTGGACCTACAGAGTCAAGTACCTCTGTAGGTATACAGAAGTCTTTCTGCAGAAGATACAGGAAAGCTGACTGCTGCCTTAAAGACCATTGGTGCCACTCAAGTGATCCATTTCACAACATCTGAAAGCACAGCAGCAAGGCAGTACCTTTCTACACCTCAAGACAAATCACTGCACTAGAGAACCTCAAAAAGCTAAGGTATACTTAGTGCTGAGTTTAATAATACTGATTAGAGGCAACAGGCCATTGAACATTAAAGAAAGGAACTAAGAAGACAAAGGCTTTTAGTTTGACTTCAGTTTAACAAAAAAAAAAATCTTTAACTACTTGGACTAATAGCTCCTGTAACAGGTATTTTGTTTCAGTTCTGTCAATTTAAACACCAATGACTTCCCTGCAAGTTCTCATTAACCATAACAGATATTTTAATCTTTTAGTCTAGGTGACAAACCAAACCAAAATGGGCAGCACAGAAGCCACTTTTACTTCTACAGAAACAGTAACAGATGAAACAGCGTTAACAAAGGGATATTTCCCCACATGTACCAAGTTCCTGGATACCCCTATGCTCTGTTGACACTATTCTAACCAATGTCTTTACCTCCTGTGGCACTGCCTTTACAGTGGGTGTACGGCTCTGATGTGTCACCAGTTGCTGGATCAGAGTTAGCTTGTAAAGCTTAAGTCTTGTCTCCTTAAAGGATTTAACAACTGAAGCTATTGCAGAGAATCTGTTTGAGCAAAGACCTTCCTTTTGACCCACTTATCAAGAAAACTATGTCTCAACTACAGCAGAAGACAAATGATACCTGGAACTGGACTGAGGACTGAAGACATGTTGTAGGACGATAATATGACAACTGCCATTTTTATTATGTTTGTTTCCTGGAATTCAGGGAGAGGACTGATTTATAGCCCATAAATAGTAACAGGTATTTGCATGCCCTCACTGAAGAGTGTTGACGTGCACAAGTCCACCCTGACAAGGTTTAACAAGTAGGAGGGAACAGCTAGTAAAGACTCATGAGAAACAGCACGCAAGAGTATTTACAGGGAACTTACCTGTTGGTTCACATCTTTCCTCAAGAGGTAAGGGCAGTGGAGTAGTTTGCAGCATTACTTTAGTAGGCAGTCTAGCTGATTATGTTAAACACTGCACAGTCACCATACTGTGATCATTTAGGTAACTTCAGATGAGATGAGTAATTTATCAAGTTTACTTCAATAGAAAAAGCACTTGGAACTTTATACCCTACTGCATTATCTCTGTGTTGGTTCACCCTAAGCTGTCACACACAAAGGACACCTTAGAACAGTACAAACTCACTGCCTAATGCTGCTGATGGAAGGCAAATTCTCAAGCACTCTATCAAAAACACGACCCACTCAAATTTGCCATTTCAGCACTGCCACGATGACAATTCCTATCACTTACCATTTTTGAGCAAGTCATTTGACTTTTATTGCTAGGCTGCACTGTAGTGGCACACTGCCACATTGTATGCCTTACAGTGGTTGCTACAGTGGAAAGTTTTCTGTCATCACCTTGTTCAGCTTGCCAGGAACAGACTGTTATTTAATGTAAGTTCAGGCTCAGAAAGTCAATACTTTGGCCAAGTGTCCATCTGTGAAGTAAGCTGCCCAGCTAGAAGTGCTGTGTAGGGTCTACCTGCAGCAATCCTCTTAAGAAATCTCAAATCCTTGTCAAAGCACCATGCATTTACCACAATTCACATCAACCTTTCACAGAGACCTTCGCTGTGAAAAACCTTCCTAAGTACCAAAATACTGATAACTTGCTTATGCAGCAGCGTACTGTCAAGGAGTCTACCCAAATCTTTGGAGTTCCCCATTAGGCTTTCCAACTTCCACCAGAAGCTGATTAATGCAGCAATAGAAGAACTGAAGCATGAGGTTGTTCCACTTATTGCTTTCCATACAACAGATATGCTTCAGCTGCACTACCAGTAGAAAGCTTGCCAGTAAAAGCTTTGAGGAAACTGTGTATTTCACATATGTACTTTTTGCAAGATACTTGTTAACAGATATCAGTTCAAGAGTCTGCCAGCAAGCTCAATCTTTCAAACAAAAAGAAAAAAAAAAGTTAAGCTTTTAGATTCAGACAAAGATAGAATTACGCTTGAACAGTTTGTAAACACCGCAATAATGGTACAAGTCTAATTGCCTCAACAAAAACTTCAGTCTCAGTGTCCTCTCTCACAATATTTCTGGCTCAGTGTGATCTCTACCATAACATGAAGCTGCTTTCTCCAGAATCTGGCAGCAGTTTAGCCTTCCATTTCTGCACACTTAACACTTTTAACGTTGGTGTTAGCAGAAGACACAGCTTTCCAGATATGACACAGGTAACTCACACCATCTTCTCAGGTTTGTTCTATTGCCATTACTAGCACTGCTGCGGGAAACTGCCAGTGTCAGCTGCTACTTTCTTACCTTCCGTGACCACAAGCACTTGTCAAAGACAGAGGCTAGCTGGTGGCTATTGTCTGCCACACTCCAAGAAGCAGCTTATAGTACTAGGCCTACCTTTTACAAATACAATAGCACCCACAGCAATTCAAGTTTGAATTCTTCTTCCATGCTGAAACTTGTATATTAGCAACACGGCCTGTGTTCTGCCAAGAAGCAGTTAATTGATACAAGTGAACGTAATTCTGCATATCTTGTATTAGCTGCTCTGTAGCCTTCCAGCACACAGAGACATAACATTCAATTTTTCAGCTCATGATAGCTATGAACTGTGTGTACAGCAGTGCACGACTGGAAAGGGAAAGATCATGTTTTATAAGAGAGTCCTGTACACAGGCATGCACAGATGTGAGCAAAGAGGGTGGAGGATACAATGTTTACATAGTAGTCAGACTGGGAGGAAGAACAGAGGAAGGTCACAGCACTATCACAGCGTATGTTTGTCTAAATCACTTCTTGGTCTTCATTACAACAGGAATCCAGAATTTTCTACCCCAAACAGCAGATAGGCTGAAACTAATCCATCTCAAAATCTGTTTTTCTGCTTTCCTTTCTGATGAAGAACCTCAGCTTAAGATTTTTAAACAATTAGTATTTTTTAATCACAGGTAATTTGTTCTCATTCCCAAGGCTATATCATGGCCTTTTATATCATCTTCCCTGGATCCAGCAATTCCAAGTGCTCAGTCTCATGGAAAGAAACGTCACCAGGAACTGAAGGTGCAAATACTTTCCAGCAAGGTAGAATTACATCTTTCTGCTAAGTGGACTGCTAATGTTCTCATAAGGTCAGTGTAATGCAACACAGGTTTGCAAGTTCCAGTTTGTCCTCACACAGAGGCCAAACACAGGCTACAAGAGTGTTACTTTATTCTTCCTACCCCACTGACACATCCCGAAACACAAGAATGGCTACTAAACATGACAACTTATAAGCATCTGAAACAAAGAAGTATCCTTCCTAGTAGCTTTAGATCTCAGCTGATTTTGCTTTTAAAAGTAAGGTTACATTAAGCTGGGAACTTAAACCTTTAAAATCAGAAAATCCACACAAGGTTAAGTCTTGTCTAAAGAATTTTAGTGATCAAGGCAGCAGCCCTCCACTGAAGCCTTCTGGGATCTGAAGGCATATGTAAAACCTCATATTTCAGAGAATGTGTGCAGGGAGTCAATGAAGCTTTCCCCTTTATTACTAACTGCAATAACTGACCAGGTTCAATCAGCTTAAAAAAAAAAAAAAAAAAAAGGCGATACAAGGTAGTAGACTCAGCCATAAACCACAAAAAAAAATAAATTATAAGAGGTCATTAATCCAACTTATCCCTGGCAATGTAGACCAGAAATGGTTCCCTGCCTCAAGTCCCTACCAGCCACAGGCAAGAATTATGTTGTAGATATTGCATTTTTTGCATCCACTGCTCTGGGCTCTGTTTATGAAAGACCAGGGAACTTAGTAATGACTTCACATAGCTTTTCTCAAGCCATGACTTCGAGACTACTAGCCTTTGGGGCAGGTCAGTGCACACAGCCCTTCCAGCTAGGAAGAAGTCTAGTGCTGCTAAGAAAAAGTATTTGATAGTGGTACATAGCGAGAAACAGCCCAATTTATCAGGCACTAAAATTTCATTTCAGGTACAAAAGAAACCAGGAAGCCCTGCCCCATACACAGGCACCTGATCACTTCAGCTGGCTTTGATCTCCCACGTGTGCCCACTAAACTTACTTACACATTCTCTATGTATCTTTTGAGGCCACAGGAGTTCTGAATTTGACCTCCTTCTCAGGCTAGATCCACCCATATTACTCCACCTCAGGCAGCTCAGAGTTTGCCCTCCTCTATTTACCTGAAGACAGACAAGCAATTGCTCACAGTACATGGTATTTCAGTCTTAAGGACAAGCTGTGCACAGCAGAGCCGAGACAGCAGTTGTCCTCTGGTTATCTGAACCGAGCTGCATCGCCTTAGCTCCCAGGAGCCCGTCACAGAGCTGTGAGCCCCAGGCCGAGGGTGGAGAGCCCACTGCGTCTCTGCCACCGCCCCCCCAGCGCCGCTCCCGCAGCAGGCGCGACACGGGTCCTGAAGGACACGGCGGAGGGAGCCCGTCACCGCCCCCGGCCAGCCGCGGCCGACAGAAGGGCCCGACACCGCCACCCCCGCGACCGGGCCGGGCAGGGGCCGGGGCTGCCTCACCTTGACGCGGATCTCGTAGGTGGTGAAGCGGCCGCGGCCCACCCCCACCGTCTGCGGGTTGCCCACGTCGATCTCCAGGAAGTTGCTGGGCGGCCCGTAGGCGTCGTTCAGGTTCTGGGGCTTGCTGATCAGCCGCCGGGTGTCCGCGATCGTCTCGGCCATGGCGGAGCGGGCGCCTTTCCCACCCTGAGCGACCGACCGAGCCCCGAGCGCCGCTCCGCCCGCCCGCCCCGCGCCCAGCCCAGCTGACTGCCCGGCAACGCTCACCCGCACCCACGGCCCTCGCGCGAGGCACGCTGGGCGGTGTAGTCCTCGGGGGCCGCGCCCCTCGCTGACGCCCGCCGCGATCTCCCGCCTTCTGAACTACAGATCCCGGCGGGCGCTGGGGGGCGAGGCGCGCTGACCGGGGGAGCTGGTTTGTCGGGCCCGCCCGCTGGCGGGGCGCGGGCCGTGGGGCTGAGGGGTGGGCGTAGCTTCCCCGCCCTGTGGGGGTGAGAAGGCTGAGGAGGAAACGCCGTAAGGGCGAGTTGTTGGGCACAAGGAATCGGATAGGGATAAACGTGAGCCGCAGGAGCTGCCCACCAAAAGCTTTGTGTCGAAAGCAAAGTCTTAAGTTACAGACCCGCGCTGCAATCAAGGTGACAGCGTCGTCTGTAGTGGCCTTAAATCTTGTAAGACTTAGTGCATTCTCACAAGGGATTCACATTTAATAATATAACCAGCGGGCACAGATTTTATATCCTCGTAGCTTACAAAGACTAAGAGTTTGTTCCCCATTTCATTCATAAAGGATGAGAAAGGAAAATTGTGTTTACAGAATAATTAAAAGATTTTAAAAAGTATTTTAATAATGAGAGAGGGAAAGGAAGAAAGAAAATGAGAGAAAGGCAGAAGCGGAGCTGATAGACTTGTTCCCTTCCATGACATAAGGTCTTTATTTCTTCAGTATCTGATCAGGCAAGTGGTGTGTTACAATAAAAGAAATGTTGCCCAAAGTAGTGGAATGTTTACCCTCTTGATCCACCCAGAACATCAGTGAATAGAAATTGTGTTAATCTGCTAATATTTCAAATTACTCCACCATCTTGGAGAGCTTCCAGAATTTTTTACTGTCTGTTAACAGTAACCTTCCAATGATTAAATACGTATATAATTTTCCTTCCTTTCTTCCTGCCTTCCTGCCTGCCTTCCGAAAGAGTTTTAGTGATACTCATTACAATCCAGGTAGAATGAGACTGTAGTCTACCTAAAAAAAAATACACCAACAAAAAAACTAGTGATATTTTTACTAAAAATCTGTGTAGGCAGCAGGTAAAATGGCAGGCTGCCCACAGATCACATCCAAGAGACTCAAAGTTAACATTGTGGCAAGTTTAGTTAGCAGTTGTGTATGTTAATAAAAAGATAATCCTGAAAGCAGAGATGAACTCAATATACAAAAAGAGCCCATCGCCATAACCAGTATGCCGTAGGTGGTTTGCTTGGTAACTTTTCTGAGAATTTCCTTGTCATCACTCCTTCAGGATTACAATGCACCTTCCTTACTTCCTTTCTTTCCACTAATAGCTGCCAACTATTCACTTTATAATTATAAACAGAAATTAAGCTGACAAGAGTTTTACAAAGCAGGAGTGAAAGGGAGCTTTACCTGAATTATACTTGTTATTAAACTGGTCTTGCAGCAAGGCAAGAAAAAACTCATTAGCTCTACTGAGATCACATAGACATGCATCTGGATAAGCTTTTGTTTGTTGCACAACCTATCCAGCCACATCTGACTGAAAATGTGAACATGCAGCAGAGCAGTGGTGTTGTCTTAACTATAATATATTGTCTGCCTCCTGGCCAAGCCTGGTTTCATTATCTGTTCCGAAGCAACTAAAAGGTGTCCAGAACCATACATTTGGAAAGTTGCTGAGTCTATAATGAGTCCGTAATTTGTTCTCATGCTGGCTAAATACTAAAAGCAAGGCCTAAGTTGAATTCTTTTCCCACAGCGTTCCATCTGAGCACCTCTCTTCTGTCTGCTTTTCCTAACAGGGATAACTGGCGGTGGAGAGCCACGTGGAGGCAAGCTACAGGGAACAATTGTTATATATAAGTGCCCATGTGTCAACAGCATTGGTATATAAAGGGGTTGCAGTGATTTGAAGAGGTCTCCCATTTCTGTTTCTTTTCCCACTGAGGTCATCTACAAATCCTCTGACCTGGGAGGCAAAGGGGAAGATGCCCTGCTTTGTGACCAGCCTCCCCCTTACATCAGCTGAAAGCATGCATGCCACATTGGCTGATGAGGCAAGGAGAAGGAGTGAAGGTGGGGGAAAAGCAGCGTCTTGTGATCCTCCTTGTTTTCTTCCAACCCTCAGAAAGTGCATTTGTTTACTTTGTAACGTTTCGGGTGGTTTTTGTGATCACGAGACTGGACTTACTCTCTCTGTAATTGCTTCTTCTTGCTAGAAAGGTTCTTCTCTCAGGGTGAAAGTGAGCATAAATTCAGAAAAGAAAGTTCTAATTCTGTTTCTGACATGAACTTTGTGCCAGATTTCAAATCTGGAGGGAGAGAGAGGTCAGCTGTGTTTGTAGGTCCAAAGATTAGATGCAAGAAACCAAGCATTTAGATACTCACAGATTTGTTACTACACATTATTTATTTAATTATGACACAGAGATTTTCTGGCAGAACATTAATATGGATACCATAGCATGAACCTGTGTGAGCAGTTATGAATGGATGATTACTTCTTGAATTTTGTAAAGTAATACCTCTCCAGTAGCTTTTTGTTTGTTTCTTATTGTCTTTTAAAAGAAAAAGTCACATTGAATTGGAAAGGAAATCAAATCTCTCCATTATCCAGTTAGGACTCTTCAGCATTTCTGACAAGTGCCTAGATTAACACATTTTAGACATGACAGGCATATTTTGTCTTGTGGGGAATGCTGACTCAGGATAAGGCAAAACTCACAGGGCATTGAACTAATTGTGCAATGCCTTATGTGGAAAAATTACTTCCTGATCCCTGCAGTAGTTGCCAGTGCTTTGAAACATGGTGTTTTAATATCTGCATTGTGTACTTGCCTGCCAGAAAATAATATTAAGCTTCTAAATATAATTTGTAATATCCACATTTATATATATATACCTACATTGTGAACTCCTGTTCTGAGAGATGCTAAGTAGAGCCTGTGTAACTGAAAGACCGTGCAGTGAATTTCTAACACATTGAGCTGTTTCAGCTATTGAGAAGTAAGCTATAAACAGATAGTGAAAAACATCCGTAAGTCCATAGTTTTGGGAATATTTATTCAGATTTATTAACCTGAGGCTTTATAAGCAGTGTAGATTATTAACAGCATATTTGATTGACTCAAAATAGATGAGAATTAATATCAAATTTACCCAAGGGTGTTTTGACATAATCCCAGGAAAATGACTTTTGATGGAAACTGTGTTGATGAAAACTAGCCACAAAATTAATTTTCATAGAGTAGGCTGAATGGTCAATTCTATATCAAAAGTGCATTTGTGTTTGGGAGCCAAAAATGTGTCCCCTGGTGGGAATATCTCGGAGTCTTGCAGGCAGGTAAACCCAGCCCTCCTTCTGCAGAAACTCAGAAAGGGTCTGGCAGAGACCCGAACACCCTTGGACACATCAATCCATCCTCATAAGGTTCAACACATCCAGGTTTCTAAAAGCAGTGCAGTTTATACCACTAGAGGCCAGAGGGGACCACTGGAGTGGTTTGATTATAACCCTGATTTTTATTCCTCTCCAAGGCCACCTATACTTTTGGCTATCTGGCAGATTAATAATGCAATTGAACAAGTGCCAGTTTAATTTCTGCACAGATGTCATGTTTTTGAAGGTGAGCAAAGGCACAGGTACAGGGAATGAAGGGTACAAGTGTACCACAGAATGGATCTGTATCTGTTCCAGGACATTAACCATGGTAATCTACAGAAGTGTACTTGAAAGTCCTGTTTGTTTGGGTTAACACGAAAACTTTGTTTTGCCAAGTGCTTACAGCAAACGGACAAAGAGTTCCTGGAGTGTGCCATCCAGCGCGTGCTGGCATGTCAGGGTTTGCCCGTATATAGAAGGCTCATGGCATTGCAGAGGGTTTATTCACTTAGGTAGAAGATGTCAGAATAGAACCAAATGGGAAGATTTTCTGTGCTGCCTTGCGTAACAAGGTTAAGAAAAAAACAGTGGCAATTTAAATAAATCAGATGTTTTTGCTGAAGATTATACTGTCATTTTCTCCAATTATTCTTGACATTTCACCCATTCATATTGTGATCTGAGTTAATAATGGAAGAAAACCCAGCTCTTGTTGCCTTGTTTATTCTTTGTTCTCAAGGAGATAAGCTGTTTATAAAGATAACTTATTTGTTATTTAAATCACTTTTACTGAAGTTGTTTGTTTCCTTGTTTGAGTTTCTAAATATATTGCAACAATTGTGATGCATCTCTGAGACGTCTATTCAATGCACTATGATTTGTACTGGAATTCATTCCTAAATGGGCACAGGTGTTGATAGCTATAATATGCTAGAATGAGTCAAAACCAATAAATGGCCAATAAAGGAAAGATGAAAGAAAATGCACTGAAAACAGCTCTTTTAAGATGTGATTAAAAAGCACTTTAGTTCACTCCTTAATTAGGTGTATTGCGCTGAAGATGTGTCTGCAGCAACTACGTAATTTAAAACAGCTGAACATATTAGAGCATAACTTCAATCACTGTTAATATTTTCAAGATCCTAAACATTATTTTTAGAATTAGCAATACTATTCAGGATATAATCAACTTTTGTTTGCAAGCTATTCTAATAGTGCCCTAAAGCAACATTTTCCAATACATTTGTAAAAAAAAAAGTTAATTGGCAGCCTAGGAAAATTACTTGCTTGCCTTCTCACGTTGCACAGAAATTTAATGATAGAATAAGACATAGGAATTGTGACGTTGCAAAACTAAAAGTCATTTTAAGCATTTCCTTTGTGCTTCTATAAGGAGCAGACATTTTATCTATTTCTTGCACAATGCACCCTGCAGGCAACATCTCCTGAAGCCCCATCCTGACCTTTGGGTGCATTTCTGACATAAACTTATACTGATAGACATAAACTGATACGGCTAATGTGCAGATAGGCTGTAACTCTGGACAGGAATATTGTCCTTAATATTTTACAAATATTTGTTGTTGGTATTTTATGGTGCATGTTTTTGAAGATAAGAACAAATAGCACAAGCTAGGACGGATCAACAAATGCAAATTCAGTTGTCACTCCTCAGTGACAGCCAAGCTGGCCTGAAAGCTGCGGCACCCGATACAGGCACAGTGCAGCATGATACAAATTATGGAAACACAGAATTGTTAGGATTGAAAGGGACCTCTGGAGATTAAATAGTCCAAGGCAGGGTCACCTAGAGCAGGTTACACAAGAATGTGTCCAGGTGGGTTTTGAATGCCTCCAGAGAGGGAGACTCCATGACTTCCCTGGGCAGCCTGTTCCAGTGCTCTGTCATCCTCAATGTAAAGAACTTCTTCCTCACGTTGAGATGGACAAGGAAGTTGTTTGGAAACTGGATTGCACAGGTAGGGCAGTAAGGTGCTATGTGCAGCTCCAGGTGGGTCTGGAAGTTGCAGTTTCTGCTGAGTGGCCAGAGCAGCACGGGGAACATAGCCCTTGGGCAGGCAGGTAGGTGGGCTCTCCAAGGGCTGTGGTGCAGCTTGGAAAGTGAAGAGAAGGGGAAGGAGCCAGGGACTGGCAAGGGTCCGCAGGGTTCTGATCGACAGCCAGGTAAACATGAGCCAGCAATGTGCCCAAGTGGCCAAGAAGGCCAATGGCATCCTGGCCTGTGTCAGGAACACTGTGGGCAGCAGGACCAGGGAAGGGATTGTTCCCTTGTACTCAGCAACTGGTGAAGCAACACCTTGAGTACTGTGTCCAGTTCTGGGCACCTCACTACAAGAAGGACGCTGAGGTGCTGGAGTGAGTCCAGAGAAGGGCAATGGAGCTGGTGAAGGGTCTGGAGCACAAGTCCTATGAGGAGTGGCTGAGGGGACTGGGATTGTTTAGCCTGCAGAAGAGGAGGCTTAGGGATGACCTCATCACACTCCACAATGCCCTGAAAGAAGGTTGTAGCAAATTGCGGGTGGGTCTCTTCTCCCAGGCAGCTAGTGATGAGAGGACATGGGGAGGTTTAGGTTGGGTATTAGGAAGAATTTCTTCATAGAGAGTGTGATTAGACATTGGAATGGGCTGCCCAGGGTGGTAGTAGAGTCACTGTCCCTGGAGGTGTTTAAGGAAAGGCTGTACATAGCACTTAGTGCTGTTCTGAAAAATAATGTACCTGTTTGTTTCTGTTATTATGAACCTCAAAAATATCCCAGAGACAGAGGAGCTAACTAAACTTTTATTCAAATAAAAGAGAGAGTTCTCTGGCCAATCCCCAGTGAGGTCTCTCAACTTAATGGAGGTCACAGCCTCTTTTATACCCTTGTCCGAAACGCAGGTCCCTCGCCGTTTCCTCCCTGGCTGAGGTACTCCGGGGTTACAGCCTTCCCGACGCCTACAATGTGTCCCCCCATTACATGATCCCCTTGTTTCTGGGCAAACTGCACCTTTCTATAACTAAACAAGAGAACGACCACTAACTTGTCACTTCCCGCCACCAAATGCAACCACACTACAAATTTTGCGAGAACACCTATTTATTCCGAACAGCTCTGTGTTTTATTTGTCACGGTGGTGTTAGGTCATAGGTTGGACTCGGTGATCTCGGCGGTCTTTTCCAAACTGACTGACTCAACCACACTACAAATTTTGTGAGAACACCTATTTATCCCGAACAGCTCTGTGTTTTATTTGTCACGGTGGTATTAGGTCATAGGTTGGACTCGGTGATCTCGGCGGTCTTTTCCAAACTGACTGACTTCGTGTCTCTGTGATCCCGGCGGGAGCGCTGACGGGCTCCTCCGGAGGGCCGCGGGACTCCATTTCCCAGCGCGCCCCGCGCCGCCGCGCCGGCCGGGCCGGGAAGATGGCGGCGCTCGTGTCGCCCTTGGCTACAGCGCGGTGCCTGCTGCGGGCTCCGCGGCGCTGCGCCCGCCTGCTCCCGGCGCTCAGAGGTCAGTGCCGCGGCCGCAGCCCGGGCGGCCACAGGCTGCCGGGGCACTGCGCGGGGAGGGCACCGAGGAGCGCGTCCCTTCCGCCCCTCCCCGCCGTGCCGCGGGTCTCCCCCCTGCAGAGGCGGCGGATCGGGACAAGGGGACAGGAGGGGGTTGGTGCCGGGCGAGGCGTGCATGGACGCGCACCGGCCCCGCCGCGGTGCCGTGACCTGCCGGTGTCCTCATGTGCCCTGTCCTGGGCCTGTCCGCCACCCAGCACCGGCGGGGCGCGCCTGCCGGTGTGGCGCCGGGAGTCGGCCCCGGTCCCCTGGGAGGGCACGCGGACGGGGCCCTGTGGCTTCCCGAGTGGATGGTGCCGCTTTCCCCCTGGGAAGCAGTGCTGCGGTGCGGTGCCTGGTTGAACGCGTCGCCCTGCGGCTGCACCGGGTGCTCGGCGAGCGCGCCCGTGGCAGCCAGCGCCGTGCCTGGGCTGCGGGGTGTCTGAGGGACTGTGTTTTCCTCCGAGTATCTTCCGATGCGTAACAACAGCCGTGCTCTAAGCCTGGCTTTAAAATTCAGTACAGTACACAGATTTATGGAGGCTTGTGAACTTGAGGCTTAGGTCAGGAGCAGAGGTCTTTTTTTGTTCGCTGAGATCTCTCCGTCCTCTGCCAGCCTGGCAAAAGTGGTGAGAATTCAAGTTGGCAACAGGTGGGTCCCAGGGTTCATAAATGTTGCGTGCACATTATGTTGCGATTGTACAATTTTTATATATCCTAAGAAAAATAGACAAGCACTGCAGTTAATAGTATGATGGTTGTATGTGTTCTGTTTGATATTGGTCTAACACCTGAAATCTCTGTAGTTTGTTTTTTATAACCAACATACTACCATTTAGAAAAAGTTGTTAGAGCAAGTTAGAGCAGTGGCTGTAGGCATGGTTTTTCAGCTTCCATGTTAAAGGAAAAGTAGTCCTTATATGTGGTGTTTGAGGACATCTGCAGGGGTGGGCAGCCATCGTAGAATTGATTTATAATCTTGATTTTGTGATCACTGGGTTACAGTCTTTTTTTTGTTTTTGTGATTTGCTTGCCACAGTTTTGTATCTTTTTGTTAATTAAAAAACTCCAAAAGTAGTAGTTGTGTAAAGTTCCAATTTCAGTGATAAACTACTTCTGTGTTTCTACTTTCATCTGTAGGTCACATGGTTAAATAGGGTGTGCATAGAAAAAATACAAGTAATCCTTTTTCAGAATAATGCCACAGGCATGTATGCAAAAAGCAGAATTCTAGTTCCAACTCATGTTTCTCTAGAAGCTTAAATGCTACTTCATACACTGCCCGAATAAATGGACTGCAGGAAGGTTTTAGACTTCAGTGATTCATCAAAGGTCATTGAAAAGTAAATAATTTTTTCGAATGACCTCCTCTCACATTCTTGTCTTTAATAATTGTAAAATATTTTGAAAAGAGCCATTGTTTGGTGTTATTATATATAAATGTATTTTCTGCTTTATAACGAGCACATGATCCCTTTCCCAAGAAGCTTACATGCCAAGTCTTTGTTCTTCTGCAGGTTTTCTCATGTACATAACTTCAGCACATGTGTATAACTTATCCAAACCCTTGTACATCATGGGCCAGTTCAGCTGAGACAGATACTGTAAAACTTGTACATGCATTTAATAAAAGATGAGATGAGAACATTATTATTGTCTACAGGTACTAGCATGCAAAAAAATTGTCTTTTCTGATCTTTTGCTACCTTTGCTCCTGTTCTCCTGCAGGAAAATAACCTTTGGAGCTACAACACTGTACCATTGCCCTTCCTCCTCACTGTGGTGTCATCTAAGAAGGAAAGATTTCGCAATAGTTCTGTTAGCAGCTTAATTTTGAGTTTAGGGAGGCCTTCGATGCTGCCATCTGTCTGTCCATTAAAGTGCCCTCTGACTTCCAAGTCTTATTTTTCTGTCATGGCAATTGTGTTCCATAGGCAGTTTTAGCAACTTTACATTAAGGGGTTCTGCGTTTGAAGCACTTTGGCTTCATAGTTACCCAAACAATGATCCTGAACTTCAGCATGGGTTGAAAACAAGACAGTTTTTAAAAGTAGCTTTCAATTACTTTTTTTTTTCCCTTTCCTCACACAAATTCCAGGGTTTGTGAAAAGCTCTCAAGGCACACTGTGTTGGCAGAGCAGTAATGAAACAGATGTGATTCCTGTACTTTGCCTTAACACTGGTTTAACAGATGCTGTTCCAACTTCTTGATTATGCTTGTCAGCAAAGGTAGCAGTAGAGTGATTTTGGCGTACTTAACTTTGGTGCTGTTGTAACCTCCATGAGTTTGGTTGAGATGCAGTTCTGAAACTACTGTTGTTTGGAAATATTTTAAAGACAAACAGTAATTAACAGTAATTAACCATTTCAGTAGAGTGTCATGGGAAATGGCTAATTCTCCATCTCTTATATCTTCAGAACATATTTTCTGCAAAATGTGTTGTAATCAAATATAATTCTTAAGCGTAGTTCAGGGATAATTAGGTAAATTGAACTTTGCTTGTACTTGGAAAGGTCAGTATTGTCTTCCAGCCTTAATCTCTGTGAATGAAAACTATTTCTGACTGTTCCAGTGAGAGAGTGATTCGAAGCATACATTCAGCTCAAAGTGATTTTTTCATCATCAGTCCCTTGAAGTGCTTTTCCAACTTTATTTCCAGAATTAGTAATACACATTTTCATGTGTATGGTGTGTGAGTGACCCTCCAGTGAGGTGAATGTTGTAATCTGAAGTATGACTTACAGTTTGCAATAAAACATTCAGTTTCGGTTGTTTGATCTTTGCTTCTTTAGCTGGGTATTGTCTATCAGTCGTGGTTTTCCTTTTTCGTCCCATACAATTCTAATAATGTGTTTAAAAGATGTGTAGTTTGAGGGCAGTGAGCGATTTTGCAGACCGAATTTTTATTCCTCTGTGGAAGTACAATACTTTGTCTTTCCCAGAAGTGAATAATCATCTTGCAATTACATGGAATGTTTTTGTGCTACTTGAAAATTCACAGTAATAAATTCAGAAGCATCAGTTTCTGCAGTAATGAAAAGATAGCAAAGATGAAATTCATGTCAGGGAAGCCCAGGTCCTTTTCTGAGGCCCTGAAATACAGGAGAGACAAGGACCTGTTAGGATTTTTGTCATAGGAATTTTCTTCTGACAGATTTTAGACCTCACAGTTCAAAACCTTACATAATGAAATTCAACTGCTTAGGGAAAAAATAAGGATTACCAGGGTGAGTGGTGTTTTTCTCAGTTACCCTTCTGTGTTCTCTCTTGGCTACTGGCAAGATCAGTTTTTTATATACCACAACCCAACTTCCATTTCAGCTTGTCTTCTTACATAAATAATAATTCTAGTGCCTGCCTCAGCTGCGACTGTTGCTTTCATAAGCCATGTCATTGAGACTGGCATGCCTTTTTCTGTCATCTCAGACATCAGTTCTAAGTGGCAGTAGAAAAACTCAACAACATACATCAGTTTTCCAATTTGTTGCTCTTTTCCAGAGCAGAAGGTTCCTGGAGATGAAAGACATTTTTTTATATTTTTATGTGGGCACTTACCTTTGCAGTGGTAAATTAATGTCAGTTTGCTGAAGGTGTCTTAAGCTCTCCACTGTAAAGAATTTTTTTATATTTCCAGTTCTGCATTTTCTTAAGGCATTTCTACAGACGTAAGTTTTTTTGGCTTTGGTGAGTTCTCCCTCCCAGATTTCTCCAAGGCAAGGCCTTTTTTGGTTATATTACAGTAATTCTTCACTGCAGCTGTGGCAAGTAGAAAAGATGAAAAGCAAGAAAGGCAAGCAGCAAGGCAAATGCAAAAAGCTAATTTTATGTTTTGAAATAAAGCAAGATTACACTTATGTATGTTTTGGGAACAGGAACTGAATAAAAAGTTGCAACTTGGTGTCAAATCTAAAGAGCCAAGTTAAATGTGATGACATCCAACACTTTTCCTGAAGGTAGGAGAGATAGGTTATGCATAATCATAGGCTGTACACTGCTTTATGTAAGACCAGGTGGATAGTGAACTGATGTGGTGCTTTTATATAGTCGTATCTAGAATACTACATAGAGATGGAAGATGCTTTTCCTGTGTGTGACACCTAAAGATTTCCAGTAAAAGAGAGCCAATAAAAATTGAGTATCAGTTTAAATAAAGTAATGAAAATAAAATAATAAAAAATAAATAAAACCATTAATAAAAGTTGTGTAGCAGTTTATGTAGCACAAACATTAGATAATTAAACAGGAAGAGATAAATGAAAACTCATATGTTGTAATGTGGAGGAGAGGGCTGTAGGACTACAGTTAGTGTGCTGAATCATACATGATTCCTATTCTAATAGTAGTTTCCTTGATGTAAAATTATGGATGGTAATTGCCTGATATTCCTTTGCTATGTATTAAAATTTCTTAAGTTTCCTTTCTTTATCAGTCTAATATAGATGCTTAGTTGAGTGAGTGGTTTTGCAATCTGTCTCACAAAATGCAGGTTAGAATGGAAGACCCACTTTTTTTTCTGTCTCTTAGAATAGTTTATCACTTGTATAGCTGTGTTCTCTTGATACTACATGCTCTTTAGTAGTGTCTGCCTTTGTTTTGCAACTACAAGTGTGAGTTTATTGCTTAAGCAGTTCCTGGGTGTGTCCTGGTAGTCTACTGTAGTGTACCCCCACCATATTTAAATCTCAGCATTCAATATTATTTTAGGAGAACAGTGAGTAATTTGTGCCAGGACACCCTCTGTCACCACTTGGGCATACTCTCCATTTCTGTCATCTGTTAGTGACAGAATATTTTCTTCCACTCCCAGGATGGTTAGCTGTGAGGACATGTAATCTGAGACAAAACCCATGCTTCTGGGCAGTCCTACTGGCGTGCTTTGTCCATGGCCATGAAGGTCATGAGCCACAAACCCTTTCTTACCGCTACATCAGCTTTTATGTTTTTTTTCTTCCATCTTTTGGTAAGCAATAGGAACTATTGGATTTATAGGTATAATGGGGCACATTGGAGCTCTTGGAGCCATCAGCTTCTGCACATTGCAAAGGCACAGAGTTCAGAGCTACAGATCACACGACTGAGGTTGACTTTAGGTGGGAGCAGAATGGTTGAACAAGATGAAAAAAACTTTAGAGAAATCATCTGAGCAACCTGGTGTAGTGGAAGGCGTCGCCGCTGCCCGTGGCAGGATGGTTGGAATTAGATGATTTTTAAGGCCCCTTCCAACCCTTTTCACTGTCCCTCTAGAGGCAGGTCAGGCTTTGCTGACCTGTTCCTGACAGATTTTTGTCACACTTATTTTTAAAATTTACCCCCCATCAGTGAAAGTTTTATAACGGCTAGACTGTAATCTATTTCACTGCCTTAATTATGGGTGTTAAGATATCTGTATAAATATAATTTCCTTTCATTTTCTCAGTACCCTATATGCATCTGGAGATGGCTAGGTGCTTTTCTTCTCTACAAGTTTTACTCCAATTTTTGCAATAACAGACTATGAACTCAACTTTCTTTATGTGGTCTCTTTAGCTAGGGATGAGCTAATTACTTTTAATTCAAAGCAGTAACTCAGTTCCTTCAAGACAGGAGAATTTGCTGGAATTATTGACTGCAGATGTAAAGGCTGTCTTACTATGGAGAAACGAAGGTGTTACTTGCAATAAATAAACATAATTTGATCTAATTATTCAGTTTTATCCTTCTCTTTTCTAACTATATTAATTTTACATTTTTTATAACTATTTAAAACTTTCTTGTGCTTCTTATGACTTCTTTGTGGATTATTACCTGTTTAAAAAAAACAGTCCTTTAAATCACCACCTACTCTCCTATTTGGTTCATACTTCTTGTAACATATGATGTGAAAATTGAAAAGTGTGTTCTGGGGCAGACCACACCACAATAGAACATTGGGTTTTTTCACATATTTAGTTTAGTTTATTTTTACCTCTAATAGTGTCATGATATTGTCTCATTGTCAGTTTGTGATCCAGTGTAGCCCTTAGATCCTTTTTTGCACAGCTGCTCTTTAGCTGGTCATTGACTATCTCTTCAGTTATTTATTGCTTCTAAATACTATTGTCCCTGTTGAATTGCATCCTATTTGTATTAGATTATTTGTCCAGTTTGTCAGAATTGACTTACCTTCCAGGGTTGTTTGCAAACCTCTCCTGATTTTCTGTTATCTGTGTTCCCAATCCATGTACTTTATTTTGCCATATGGAAATTCATGAATCGAAATTCTGGATTGCATCCAAGATGAGATCCTGAGCCCTCTCTGAAACTGTACTACAAATATACACGTAGTTTAATTGTACTAAATATTCATTCAGTATAGTTTTTCCAACTGTTTTGCACCTGCTCAAAAGTACTTTCATTTGCAACTTACTTTCCTACTTTATAGATGAGAATGCTGTGTAACAAAAGTGTTACTGCAATAAAGATGTTTTCCTCTCCCATTAAGCATATTGCTTGATCAGAGAGGAAAACCTTTTGATCTTGTATTGTTCCTGAGGAGCTGATGTTGCCTTTTATTTGTTATGTTATCTTGTTAAGCGCTTTATTAAAAAAAAAAAAAAATCTACTTGTACTTGTTCTGGTATTTTTGAGTATTCTGAAGTTGTGTTGACTTGCCTCTGAATTTCTGGATTTACCTTTCTCTTCTTTATAAAGACAAATATTTTTTCATTTTCCTCATGGATTGGAACCTTACCTGCCTTCAGTGAGGCCTCCAAGAAAGCTGTTAGAAGCCATTGTGTTGTTGGGAAACTTACCTAAAGCATTTAGGGATAAATTTCTTCAGATGTCACAGTGTTAAAAATATGCAGTCTTTGATATGTGTTTTTCCTACACTCAAATCTATTCCCTTCACCATTGCTACAAATTGTGTTTTTCTGTATTATACTTAACCTGTTGAATGACAGTAGAAGCAAAGAAGGTATTTAACAGCTTTTCAGTGTATGCCATTGTTTCTGATCTTAATGATTTGACAAGCCTTCTTTGTAATCCTGTACATTCTTTCCTTTCGTAGTTATATCTTATATTAGGTCTAGCAATTCTGCCTTTTTTTTTTTTTTTTAAATTTCTTGTTTCCAGCAGAATTCCTGCTTGGGCTCGCCCCTGTCTCTTCTAGGCAGAAGATGATGCCAGCAGAACAGGCTATGGCATTGCAGGGCTTCACAGCTATTGCCTTGCTCAGTATGGTGTTTGACTCGCTCAACTTCCTTACAGAACTCCTGGTTTGGTCTCCTGATTGCTGACTTTTAAATACTTTCTAAAGTATTGTATAAAGGATTATCTATTCAAAGAAATGCACTTTGGAATTTTTAAATAGTTTTACATCCCAGTTTTGAAAATAGAAGGTCAAAACTTTGCTTGCAACAGCTCATTCAAATCTTACCAAGTCTCCAACTGGGCTTCTCAGTGAGTGTACTTTTTAATAATAAAAATAAATGGTAAAACATACTCCTGGAGTAAAGGTAGAACTTCAGTTAATTGAAAGTGAAGGGTAACATACGCTAGTGGTTGTATAGGTAAGTAATGTATATATGTCTTTGTGTAAACTGTTACGAATGTGTACTGTTTATAAGAAAATGCTTTTCAAAATGTCTCTGTTAATTGGCTGCTTTTATTTTTACAGCATACACAGCTCAGGCAGAGGAGAAGACAGGCCCTGGTACTCCTACAGATGCTCACGCCAGAGCCTTATTGGTTTGCAATGGACCTTTAGAACATTATGACTTTCTGATTAAGCAAGAAGAGCTGAAGAATGATGAGCAACAAAGAAGAGTTGTGCAGCACCTGCAGAAGTTGCACGAGAGCCTTAAAGGCTACAGCATTGATTCAAAAAATCTTCTCTCAAAGGTGAGGCTTATAGTGATAAAAATGGTTTTTTTGCATTTATGTTTGCTTATAAGAATGTGCTTAAAATACGTAAGTCTCTGTCATTAGCATGAATCTTGTTTTTGCAGATGGGTCTTTACAGAAACATCATTCTTCGTATTTCATAAATCCAGTGGCACTCTAGAAGTAACCAAATTAAATATTATTGAAATAATTTTGCAAGAAAATCTGATATGGTTTTAATTATGTCCACTGTCTGCCTTTCCAAAGTGTTATTTGGCTATGGGAGAGAGTGGCCTAGTCCGGGTTTTAGTTTTAAAGTACGGATATTATACTTGTGTGTTGGGTTTACATTAACTGAACACTGACGTTTTGTGTTTTAACAGAACTTTCATGAATAATTTCCACATGATACTATAGATCACATATGACTTAAAAATTTTTTTTTTCCATGTTGTTGTCTCTGGGTGAGGTGACAAAGAAGGCAGAGGTGTGATTTGTGTCCTGATTGAGTTTTGGAGGGGCATCACAGCTTCTTTTCAAAGGATTAACAAAAGTTCAGACATATCCCTGTTGCACAGGGACTTGGCAATCATAGTCCCTTAGCATTAGTAATGCTGTTAGCTGGCTGTTGCATCTCTGCAACTTTGCCCTGAAGCTCTTGACACAGTGTTTTCCAGAGTCTCTTTGACGGTATTCCATATCTTGTTCTCATGCTGTTTCTTGTGCTCTCTCTATTTCTCTTGCACCACTTTAAGTTTTATTTTTCGTCAGAAGTAACTGTCACATTTACAGTCACTGTTTGCCATCATCTGCAGTCCTTGCTGACAAAGCTCTGTGTCAGCCTTTCTCAGCATTCGTTACACAACGCTGCCTCCTCTCATGGGCGTAAATCTAAACATGTAACTCTATTGAACTTCTTACCTAATCATATACTTCCTATTACAATCCCAAATTCTCCTGTTACCTGGCACAAAGACTGTATATTTTTTTTGCTTGGCAAGCTCAGATAATGTAGCATGGGATCAGGGGAGCCAAAGCCTGCAAGGCTTAAGTGCCTTAAAATGGCACACTGTCCTCTGTCCTTTAGGTACTAAATGACAGGTTACCACTCAAAGGCTCTTGCAATGGCTATTAGCTTCAAGGTGTGGAAAAAAGTAGAGAAGAGAACAGGTGTTATACCTGTAGATGGACCTTTTAGTATATATATTAGTATAGCAGGGTGCAGAGCATTGGGACATGCTGTGATCTGCCTCTAACATCGCTTGAATGCCTGAAACTCAGATATGTAGCTGCAGATCATATATTTGCTAATTGTATGGTTGACTGAAAATGCCCTAAATATCTTCCTGCCTCGTGATGGAAGGAAGGAGACTAAACACCTAGGAAGGACCTCTTATTTTATTGAGAAGAAACCTGAATGGGAAATAATTCCATGGAGCAACAGTCAGGCACTCTGGAAGAACAAACACGCAAGTACAGGAAGCAAAGTCCTAAGGCAAGACTGTTCCTAGAGGGCAATGAGTGTGTCTTTGGAAGGTTTGTTGTGGAAGCAGCATCCTTATGGGTCCCTTTCAACCAGAGATATTCTGTGACCCAACTTAAACAGAGGGCTTGGCCATATGATCCCCTGAAAACCCTACCAACCCAAATCATTCAATGATTCTAACTCTGATGTGGGAATTGGAACCAAACTTGGTTTGGAGTATATTTTTGCCTGCTCTGGCAGATGAGTCATTTCATCACATTACTTACCTTTTTACTTCTGGGATTTCTTTAATTAATATTATTAAAAACATAAACCCAGTGTAAAAATGATAGATGTAGGTTGAAAACTGTATGTTTATGGTATTTTAAAACACTTAATGATGTTGTATGTGGGTGTGTGCCTGTAGATTCATGTTGTCTTGATGCATTTGTGGGCTAACTCTTGAGTCTAAATCAGTCTCCTGATGCAATTTGGACAAGTATCAAATGAAAAATAGAAAATTCCTCTTTGAAAAATGGTTATTTCTTATCTTTGGTATCCAGAGCAATACAGCAGCATGCCTGAATGCAAACCTCTTTTGCTTAAGTGTAAGGAGATTAAGCTGGAATCAGCTTGCCAAACTGTTCTCTAAGTGGAATCTTGCTGGCCAGAGTTTTGTATCTTGAGAATTGTTGATGTGAAAAGTTCTTGGGTTTGGAGTTTGTTTTTCTTTTTCATCTATCTGGACTTCTTTTTGATCTTTGGTGTTAGGCTCATAATCTTTTAATTTGCCTATCTCAAAATTGTCTTATTGTGCCTGGACTGTAAAAGAAGTCACTCGAAAGGGAGCCGGTTATCAGGCTTGCTCCTGTATTATTTTTGGACATACTCTCAGACTTTTATTCATTTTTATATTCTAGAAAAAAATGTTATGATGAAGGCATTAGTCTTATTGTCAAACCTGAGGATCAGTAGGCTAAAGCATTTTGATCTTTACTGGAAAACTGTTTTGGACATTCGGATACTAGGTTCTGAAAGTGCTGCCTTTGAGAACAGTTTTGAGAGCTGATTGTGTTAACTGGAGGGCCCTGAATCACTGTTAGATTAGGTGTTTTATCCTGGCTTGTAGATCAGCCATTGTGTGGGTTATTTACTGATTCTTTGGGAATCATGAATAAGGAAGAAAGTTTGTATTGCAGAGAACAAATACTAATCTTATTTTATTTAAGGAAATGTAATGCTACTTTTTCCCCTATGTAACAGAACTAATTGCAGTATAGCTGGACTGACTGACACTTTCTTAAAGGGAAAAAGTCAAATGCCATTTTATAAGTTGAGAATGTGTTTTTCATTAGTTCATTTAAAGCACTCTACTGCTTTATTTAACATTGCTTCAATTCCATGCTTTAATTTTAAACCAGCTTTTAAAAATGGTTGCATGGCTCACTGGTAGAACTAATGCCACAGTCAGTGAGAAGCAGCTGTAGAACTACTTGCTATTGGGGTAAGTGTTGTTGTAGTTTGAGGTTTTTCTTCTAGAGCTTGATATTTCTATGGAAATCTCAAGACTGATAGTCAAGGTTGAGCACTATAGTGCCATGCCATGCATCAAAACTCCAGAAAAGAAGGAGAGCAGTGAATTTTGTGTAAATCTGTTAAAGCCTGGCTTGTGTAATTAAATCAAGTCATGATTCAGGCTGAAGAAGTCACAACAGCTTTGTTTCTGTTCTGGTGTCTTTGAGGATGTTATTTGCCAGTTCAAGCAGAGCTCCTTTTGAGATAAAATGAAGCCAAGTAGAGTATGGATTAAATTCTAGTGCAGGCAAGGTTTTGCTTCAGCAAAGTTGTAATCAACATCCTTAATGAAGGTTTTCTCCAGAGTAAGTCACAACTGTGACTAGGTAGTTGCTAAAGTCATATGCTTGTCATATGTCTGCATCTGTTGAGGAGTTTCCTAAGTAAGCAAAATACCTGTTTTTCTATTATGGACTTCCAGAGTAGGGATGCCGTTGCAGATTTGGTTCAGGCTTAGAGAGTAAAACTAAGCCTTTTGTACCGAGAAGAGGTGATGGTGAGTACTGCTGTCTGGAACTGGCCTGGGTTGAATAGGATTTGTGTAGATTGTATGAGTGGAATTAGTTCACGTAACTAGTAGAAGGCATGTCCATGGAGTGCTAGTTATACAGAGCACAGGTAGATGCCATAGTTGTGAATAACTTGTTGGCACTCTCCTCTCATGAGGGCCTGGTACTTTGTAACTTTGAATATGCTAGGAAGTAAAAAATAAGCCTTATGTTTTTGTGATAGAACAGTTGGTTTCACCTTTTGTTTTGTACTTAATGGGCTTTAATAGATGTAAATGAAAAAAATGGTTGTATTTTAAATTATTTAAGGATTTAGTTTAAAAAAATCAAAGGCTTTATCAGTTATACTTAGTATCTTGTAGATTGATGTTTTGCTTTTTCAGGAGGTTTTTGGCAACTTGACTAGCCTACCTTTAGTGTGAAATCTCCTGTGTTGAGAAGAGATTTATCTACTGGCAGCTTTTTCGATATAAAAAATAGTGGTTCTTGGCATTTCAAGTGTACTCATTTTCCTGGCTGTGTCATTGAAGAGAATGTAGTTTGAGAGGCTGCATTTAAGAAAAGGGGGTGGTGAAAGAGAAGCATTTCTCAGCCTCTTCTGTAGTCTGATCTTCCTTATTTTATTGCCTGATTGCTTCTGTGATAGAATTGCAGAAGCCTCTTCCAAAATAGCAGTTATTCCAGAAATAGAAACTTTGCACCCATGACAAGAATGGTCTGCTTTGGTTTTCATTTTGTTCTTCTTTTGTCACTTTTTGTCTAAATAGTTTTATTCACTAAAATACGGTAAAAGTAGGATTAGGGAGCAAATATTTGTATCAGATACAATAGAGAAGCATTTCAGTGTTCATAGAAGGGACTTATATTACCTCACAGGCCAAAGCTTTCTGAAATGAGTAGTTTGGGGCACCAGTGTTTTTCTTCGTGGTAATAAAACTCTATTTTTTTTTTGTGATGTAGGTTTTTTTGGGGCATCATCTTAGAAGGAATCTCAGGGGAAAAACCATTAGTCTTGCTGCCAACTAAGTAGGCTTCTGTTTTTCAAAATTGTTACTCAAATTTGAGCAAGGACTTTGATCTTCAACTTGGTGAAGGCCTGGCCTTACATGTTGAGATATTTTGAGATCCTCTGAATTGAAGTTCAAGGCTATAAGAGTTTGCACAGACATTTCAGATCTCTAGCTTTTCAAAATAATACCAATTGGGACTTCTTAAGAGTTGTTGAGTTGCTGTACTAATGACTTGAAATAAGCTCAATTATAAGTGAGGTCATGTTTTGAAAAGAGGTATGAACAATAGTAAACACCATTCAAGACCTTGAAAATGTCTTCAGCTACAAGAGCAGCCAAAAAGGAGCCTGAAAGAGTGGGAGAAAGAGGCGGTTTTGTTAGCATTTAAGGGAGACTTGTCTCCTGGATTTTGCATATTTTAATTAACCACCTTAGTAGCCTAGCCATCTTAAAAGTTTTTCAAATCAGAGTGTAAATATTCCCAGGAAATGAGTTGTTTGCTTCTAGTGTTTGAGTGTGGGAGAACGTGGAAAGACGTTGCATTTTACTGAAGTTATTTAAGAAAGAATAAGAAGTTGTCAGAATGAAGGAGATGTTTGGACCAATTTAATTCCTTAGATGAGGTAGGGTATTGTATGATTGATAGTGAAGTTTAAACAAAGAAAAAAATCTGATCTGATATGATCAAAGCAAGGCTTGCTGTTTTGAAACAGAAATGTGTAAAATGGGGCTTTGAGCAATCTGGTCTAGTGGAAGGTATCGCTTTGCCCATGGCAGGGGTTTGGAACTAAGTGATCTTTAAGGTCCCTTCCAACCCAAACCATTCTGTGATTCTATGAAAACATTTTGATAACACAGAAGAGAATTCTGTAATCTAGGGATACTAAGGTTTGTATCATCTTCTGGAAGTGTAAATATTTTTAAGATATGAATGATTTTCAAATTAAAATCTGTAAGTCGACTATCTATAAAAAGAGAAGAGGCTTCTGTTCTAGCATGTCCTGATGATAATGAAACTCTGTGAAGCACTGAATTTATGCTTTCTTAAGTTATTGCAAAGAATGTTGTGGCAGTTAAGAAACTCAGAGGACTCAAGCAGTTTGACACATCTGTGGTGATGCCCTTGTTTGAAAGGGTATGGAGAGCCTTTAAAACTTATGTATAAGCATTTCAAAATTCTCCCCTTCATACTCAAATTTGGTGCATCACTTATTATCTCTGAGTTAGTATATTCTAAATATTAACTTTAAGATCCTTAAATCTTACCATTGTTCCAAAAGAAAATGTACTGTCAACAAATTGAACATTATTATACCGAGAGCCCAAATATTTGTCAGGGTAATACGGGAATGAGGAGAGAGGAGAAGCTCATCCATTTAGTTTGTCTTCCTACATTTCCTACTTCTCTCTCTTCTCTCCGTGAAATAAACTAGACTGTCCTTATTTTTGGGTAACTGGAGGATCTTTTGCGTTAGTTCTCCCTCCTCCTTTTTTCAGAGTGTGTGTTTGAATAGAAGCAAGATCAGTCTTCTCCTTTCTTTGCCCTCACATATCATTGACTTTCCTGACTGCTTACTGTGCTTTAAATTAAGAGCATTGATGAGATTTTGTCAGAAATCGTAGTTGGAAGTTGCTCTTATTCTTACACAACGTCTAGAAGATTAAATTATTAAAATAATTAAATTATTAAAATAATCTAAAAAAAGGGAAAAAATCCATTTTGTGATTATGCAGAATAACTTGAGATTGGTAGGATGTCTGAGTTTTCAGTATTAAAGATCTACTAATCAAGTTTACTTTCTAAAAATAAAATATATTTCAAGGAAAAAAAACCCAACCAAATCAACAAAACAACCCAAGAATATAAAAATAAATTCTTAGCATTATACAGTACCTGACAGGATAAGAAAGTGTTTATCCTGAAGCTGTCAATAGTGTCACTTTTGGCAGAAGTATATGTAAAATATTTCTGACAAACTTCTTTAATTGCTCAAAGAGGACAAAAAGTTTTCTGACATTTGATTTGCTTTTAGAGATGACCAACTTCAGCAGATGTGTTTGGATCTGCCACAGTACCCATTCCTTTCAGCAATTAAATATCATTCAAAAATTGCTTTCTTCACAGGGAAGCTAATTTCATTTTTTAAATCAACCAGAAATTGATTTAGACTTTTCATGGAGCCTGAGCCATTATATTTATTTCCTTTAGTCAAAACGCCTTTTTTCTGTAACATGTTTTCCAGAAATAAATATACCTAAAAAGGCAAATATTAAGATGGTTAAATATAATTAATAAAAAAATTTGCAGTGAAAAAAATGGTTTAAAATGTAGGCATTAATACTTGTTCTGGTTATATAACCTTTACAAAGACAAGTGAAGCTGTACTCTAAACAGATTTATTTTTCTAGCTTGGTGTCACTCCTTGTTAAAGTACAAATCAGATTGATACAGCCCTTCTGTGGAATAAATTGAATGTGATAATCTTTTGTATTAATAAAATGACTGTTGTTAATATCAAATTAAACCCAAAGAAATTATTATGAATGTCTTTCTTTTGGATTTTTCTTCCGTTCCTCCTTTCTTTGCTGTGTAACTTTGAGCATCGGTAGTTTTACTGAGTGCAGGCTCTTAAAAAGTACACAATGAAAAATATTCAACAGTTAAATTGTCTTGCAGTGCTTTGAAAGCACTAGCAAATAGTTTCAGCCTTATCTGTTAATGGAATGGTTTCAGAACATCTGAAACCCTGTCCAAACAGAGATTGATGATACAAATTTTTGATTACCCTATTAATACAGCTTAAATGAAATCGAAAAGGGGATCTTATGTAAGAGCCATGCTTGGATATTTTCTGAATGAACTGGTACTCCAGACTTGAGATGTTAGCCTTCTACCTTTTGGTCATGAATTTTCTTTCCTGTTCAATTAGTGTCTTGCTGCTGACTCCTCTATTTCTTTAACATGGCACTGTATTTTGAAGAAGTGCTTTAGATTCAACTTGTTTAGCAATTACCCAGCTCCAAAGGAGACCCCCGGGTTGCAATTTTAATATTCTTCTGTGTTGCCTCAGCCCACAGAGCTCTGAAAGTGGAGCCCTTTAAAATAACCAAATACTCTTTTGCAGTGTTTTTGTGGATGTCAATTGAGTTCCATGGATTTGATAGAATTTTTGTTAAGATCTCTATTTTTTTAGAAACTGTTTCTTTTTAGAGTTATACTTGGAAAGGGCTATGCACAATACTGGAGGGGGAGGGGGAGAGGACTATTTCAAATGGAAAGTTTGGTGTTATTGGAAGTTTTTCCATATGTGTTTGAGTACAATTGACACCATCAGGTGTAATAATATATGTCCTGAATAATATTAAGAAATCTAAAATGTTTAAGCAGTGCTCATTCCACATAAAAATAACTAATTTGAAAAAAAGGATAATAAAAAGCGTACTTTTGAAAATGTTTTTTATATTTTAACATATTTATACATATACACACACATGCATGTGTATATAGGTACATATTTTTACTGTGACTCCATTTATTTTAATAATGTTTAAACCAGAGATGATTCTGCATTTAAGACTCAAGGCTGAGAGAAAGAGGTCTTACAATGCTCACTGGCTTTGCAATACTGATTTTATGAATCCTATTAGTTTATATCTTTAGCAGAACTGCTCTAATAGGTATATAGTGCATATATCTGTGAATACTATAATAGTGCTTAATTTTATATCCTTTTTTCTCGGACTGTTCAAATGGCTTAATGAGGGAAAGGACTTGTTTTGATAATGATAGATTAGGAAATATTAAATCATTATATATGTGTTCTGATAAAAAGGTATGTGTGGTAGGACTGGGAATGGGGATATTTTCACAATGATCTGGAAAAAAAACCCAACCAAACCCTGCATGTGTGTTTTGCCTCTTTTATAGAAGTCACACAAATACAACATTGATTGCCTATCAATTCTGAGCTAATGATTTATTCAAGATTGCACTTTGGTAGCTAGTGGTACTTTTGTGGTTAAGTATAGCTACTTTCTTACTATACCACAGCAATATGTTTGCTTTTATTTTACCCTGTATCCATATTTATTCTTTTTCTCTTGACTTGCAGCTCCTTGCCAAAAACAAACCCCCAAAAGGTGTTTATGTCTATGGAGATGTTGGTAAGTTTCATTCAATGGAATTTTCTCTAATGCGTGTCTCTTCAAACTCTGGACTGTCTAAAAGCTTTACGTTTATGTAGCTTAATTGCTTTAATGAATTTTACAGGATTAGTTTTCTTCCACATTATGATGTTATTTAATACAATTACAGTCTGAATCCTGGAAGCTGTTTGATTGGGCCACATTACTATGTGTAGCTTTCAACGTTATCCATTCCCTAGTATTTAAAAATGCAATTTAAGAATTTGGGAAGTAATTGTGGAGGCCACCAGAGAGAATTTGTATATTCTAATTGCAATAGTGCAGCATGAAATCATACTTGCTTTCCAGAGGAAATACTAAGGATGTTTTCTGGATGTATGTGGAGCCATTTACGCAACCTTAGGATTGTCTCTGAATGGATCAAAATTTTAAAACAGAAAAATAAAAATGCAGTTGTTCCAAGTTTTTGAACAGAAAACATAGCTGTTCTTCACAGCAGTCTGGTCTTGTACTTACTCTGTGGAAGACTATAGTTGAATTAATTCAAAGCTATCAAACAATCATTGTTCTAATCAGTACTTACTGTACTTAAATTAACTACTAGTTGAGTGCTTTTTATTGTTTTTATTTGAAGGCACAGGAAAGACAATGGTGATGGACATGTTCTATTCTCACTTAGAAGTAGAAAGGAAAAAGAGAGTCCATTTTCATGGTTTCATGTTGGATGTACACCAGAGTAAGTGCAGACACAGGTATTGACAAGAATTTCATGAAATATGGTATCTATAAAAAGGTCTATCTCATTCTCATGTTTGTATTAACCACTGTAACTTTATTCAAGTATTTAAGCAAAAAAAAAAAAAAAAGTAAAAAATAGGAGAAATGTTGAAGCATTTTAGCATTGTCTGTCAGACCAGTGTAGATATTAATTGCATATTATTTCTCAAATATCTTTTCTGAAAGAGATATATATATACTTGATTGTATAGAAACTTGGGTGTGTTGTTTAGGATGAAATCCTTAACTAAACATTTTCCAGTTACCAGTTAGCTTATATGAAATCTGAAGAAGGCAATTGCTGAAATTGGAACTGGAAAGCTTAAACTCCATCTGTGTTTTGAATAAACAATAACTAAATGCCAAGGAGAATGGAAACTATTCTGGTTGAGTAACTTAGTAATACTATGAGTGATTTGGAGGAAGAAAATAAAGAAGTTCATCTTACGTTTCAGAAAATTTTCTGACAGGGTGAAAAGGCACTTTGTTTTGACAGAGATACTGTTTTAGATATTTTAAAATTTGCTTCTGTTTCTAAATTCTATGACCTTATATGACTGTGAAATTGTTAAATATTGCTGTACTTTACAAGTGTTGTGACAGCTGCATTTTTCTTGCGAGGCTTTCATCAGTGTAAACAACCTGAGTCACTTCTAGTGCTCGCTTTTCTATCATCCCTGGGTCACTCTTGAGATTTTCCATTTACGTTTTTTGTCATTTGTGCTTAATCTTAACAAAGAAAGCTTCCTACTGTGAGGTCGTTGTTTTCCAAATGTTTGTTTGTAGTCAGATGCAATACAATCCATGAGACAGTGAAGTATGGGTATAATAATCTTACCTTGTGCCAGTATCATCATCTTCACATTTTAAAGCATGACTGTGTTGCTATGTCTGCATTCTTTTAACTAAATGCATTCTAAGAATACCTTCAGAGCAAGATAAAACTGTAATTAATATAAATTTATAAAAGATAAGGTATAGGTGCATAGCATTCGAGACTTCTTTGATTTTTGTTTTCTATATTCCTAAACAAAACAAACAACAACAACAAAGATATCATAGAATCTGTGAGCTTTTAGTTGTTGCCTGGATGTGGTTGAAAACTCTTTTGCCCTCTTGAAACTAGATTAAGTTTGAAGCTTTCTTATTTTTACTAGACTGGGCTAGTTTTTATTTGGTAGCTAAATAATTTTCTTCTTCCTATCTTAGAAAAAGAAATAAGTAATATTTGTTCTTTTCTATCAACTAAGGAATACATCGCCTTAAGCAGAGCTTGCCAAAGAGAAAGGCGGGATTTATGGCTAAATCATATGACCCAATTGCACCAGTGGCAGAGGAAATAAGCAAAGAGGCTGCTCTCTTATGTTTTGATGAATTTCAGGTAAGAAGCCAAAGATTACTCCTTTGCTTCAAGAGAAACTACATTGAATTACTTTTGATCTTAAAATATGGCACTTGTTACTGCTAATGTAATATTGGAATCGCTGGCCAGTATTCAACTGTAGAAGTTGAAGAGTATAATTTCACAGTTTTGAAGATGGTGGGGGTTTGGGGTTTTTTTTCCACAGTAGGTAAGATGTAAGTTGGCAGTGTAAGTCCCCTTATAGTGCTTTGGTTTACCAATCTGTTTACTGATCCTACAAGGAGGAATTAGTTTGTCTAGAGGCTCATGAATACTTCAGGGCAGGGGCCATCATCCTGTACTGAGTCTGTCCAGTACCACCTGATACTTGCTTGGCGTGCCTGATCTTTGCTGTAGTTCATATAGTGCTACAAAATACTCTCTGTGATTAAGGATATGTAAATAACACGTTAGATTCAACTTAAATTCTTTCCTAGAGTTATTGAAGTCTTTGGCATGACTGTGCCAGATTATATCAACTAGCATTTTAAGAAACTCATTGAATTAAATGTGAGAATTAAAATAAGCTTATAAAATGATCTTTGCACAAGTTAACTTGATTGTTTCATTTTGAACAGCTTGTGAATTTTGTTTTAAGGGCACATCACAAACTTAAGTGCAAAATTGCTTTATTTATTAGTAGATAAGCTAGAGGTATTTGGCAGTTTAACCAACTGAGATTTTTTTAATTTATAGAGAAAATGCAGAGCAAGATAAGAACAGATCTGTGTTAGTTCTCAAATCACTGAGAATAAAAGAATAACCTGTTAACTGTAAATTGTCTGTCTTATGCTCATAAATTAATACATTTCTGAAATGGATGGAGCAACTCATCATATTTGCTGGCTGTTATTTTACAAGTGTGCACACCCGAGGAAAATAACTGTTTTGTGATTGGCTCCCATGAAGGGGATTTTTGTGAAGTAGTAGCAGTTCTTGTTTTAAGTTACTCTTCCATTTTTCATCTGGGGTTAGTCTTTTGATCTACGGTTTCAGAATGTGTGGGCTCATTGCAATTGTTACTGTTTGATCATTTAATTTATGCTTTATCTGTTGAATATGAATGCTGGGCTTCCAAAACCTGAATATAAAATCTAAATACAGAGGCAGTTGTATTTACGTTATGAAGAAATGGGAAGGTTTGGAGAGGGAGGCATTAACTCTCAAGACATTATATGCTCAGATGGTAGAAGGAGGCTGCACTATATATCAGTGTAAATACCTGCTTTTCTGTATAAATGCCCACTGCTTCTGTGTTCTGGTATTGCTGTGTTTCCAGACTGTCTGTCATGTTTCCACATTTTAAAGAGAGAGACTGGTATTTTTTGTTCCCAGATTGATTGCCTGCTCCCCCTGCTGACTTGCTTGAGGTACATCAGTGGCTTCAGTTGGAAAAATCACCTGGTTTTGTCAGTCCGTCACAGCTGGGAAATTAATACAAGAACTATATTTTTAAAAGTGTTTCTAAGACTTTGCATTCATATATGGATTTTTAAAATCTACTTGTTCTGGGTGTACTAATTTTCTAAATTCACAGATTTCTGAATGGCTGGATTTCTTGCCTGATTTGCTGTAGCATGGAAGTCTGTACAGGTTTTGCCTACTGAAGAGGAGTCCCAGCTTTCTTAAATTTTGCAGAAGGCGCTGATTTTGGGATAAGAAGCCTTCTCTTTAAGAAATCATAAAGTAGTGCAGTGACTGGAAGAACAGCTCACAATAATAATAAGGAGTCATATTTAATTCAGGATGTTTGCAGCTCATTTCCCCAGTGGAGATCATAGCTGTATTTCATTGCGGTCTGATTTACTCATAACTAAAGAATTACTAGATTAAAATGATACTGAAAAGAGCTGGAGACTCAGGACATGTACTGTTCTGACTTGCTGGCAAAGTGACTCTCTGTCTTGACAGATGGAAAGTGAAGATGGGCCTGTACTGCTTTGTCAAAATAATTGTGTGTGGAGGCAACATCAGAAAAATACTGAGATTTGCTTTAAACACTTCATGTTGCTTTCAGATGCCTGTTGGACAAAAGAAAAGGAGACAAGCTGAAATTATTTAATTATTTATTTATCTTAAGAACACTTAACAAGTGATGTTGTAAACAGAGGCAGCAAAAAAATATTGTTATATTGTTAATGCTCATATTTCAGAGGAAACCAAATGCAGAACTTCAGAAGACAAAAGCCTTGCTTAGGTTGCAATTTTGTCTTTGACAGTGGGCTAAAGCAAAGCAGAAGTATTCGGAAGTGAATCTTCCTGCAAAGCCTAGAAAACTGTCAAGCAGCTGAAGAATTGTCTAATTGATGTAAAAAAATATTTCAGTACTTCTTTTAAAAGTAGTGTTTCTGTGTTGTATTAAAAAAAATTACTATGTTTTAAATGTTTCATTTTGCAAATATTGTGTAATAGACAGGACCTTAATGATGGCATTAAGCTTGTGTGTCTGTTTTGAAACAGGATTTTGTCAGCATTTTGCCTGAGTCACAGGCTCTCAGATTATTAAAGCATTGCTACTTCCTACTGATCTTTGTCATGCAGTTTACTGTAAATATTGTCTTCTCTTTTTTAATCACAAAAGTCTTAAGCCATTCTAAAAATGTGTCCTCATTTTGAAGAATAACTCTAGAATTAAACCATTTGTAGTTATGGTTTTGATGTTTTAAAACACAGAGGTTGGCTAATAAAAGAGTCCAGTTATTGTTTAGTAATCAAATAACTATACACAGGTAATTAGAAGGTCTAATTTTGGCATGAGACTGTAACCTATGTTAGTTAGTATTGAAAATGAAAACAGAATCCCTACTTCTTGGGAAGCTGAGTGATCATGCAGTGTTAGTCTTAATATGCCATCAGTACCATTTGGATTTAAAGTGAACTACAATTTAGGGAATTTTTACTAACCTGCATTCTATTAAAAGCCTCTAATAAAAATTAGGCTCTTATTTTTGTGCTAATACTAATTGCTGATAATACATGCTTATGTTTGCCATTCATTACATGGAACTGTACCAATCAGTGGCTGACTGAATCTCAGGCACTTACACATGTAAATTAACTATTAGTCTAGTGTTTTTCCTTCTTTTTTCTTCTTCTTTTTTTTTTTTTTTTTTAACCTGAGTTATAATGGAAAGCAACACTATGTAATAAAAATCTTTTAAATGCATGAAATTTCTGCACTCTCTCCATTAGCCGACTCTCCTTATTGGTAATTTGTAGCCTTTGCTTTTCTTATCCATTGCAATGAATACTGGATACCGTAAAAAACATGAGAAGTTACAATCCTTTAGTTACTGTCTGCTACCTGCTTTGCCCTGTAGAATTTTTTTGGCTTTCCCAAACTAGATTAGATAAAAAGAGCTCATATTTGCATTCTGGTCCTCAAAATGGCTCTTGCTTTCAAGAAGGTTTTTTGTTGTTTGTGGTTGTTTTGTTTTGTTTTTTTTTAATGGAGTTCAGAATTCTGCATCAAATAACAGCTTCTATTAATAAGAGGATGTTATTGTTTTGTTTTATGAGCATTAATATTCTTTCACTCCCTGTTTTCCACAGGTAACATGCTTTGCAGTATTGTTAAACAAAAAAGTTTGTAACAAAATTATTTATATAGTAGGTTTTTAAAACTTGGCTTTTAGGCTTGCTTTGTGGTACAACAAATTCAGTTACCCCTAAGATGCACATCTATAGTGATTTCTTGTGTGTCTTGTTCTTTAGGAATGGGGGAAGTTCCTAAATTTTAGTATTTAGAAGAAATAAATTACTGATAAGTGATGCATAAGCATAGACATATAGTACAGAAGAGAGTTACTATATTTTTTTTTTTAATATCAGATCTTAGTGAGCAGGGATGTGCAAATCTGAGGGACGTGTTACAGATTATGTAAAAGTTTGTTTTTTAAAAAGGAAAGAAAAAAGTCCCTATTAATGCATTACATAGAACAAAATAGAAGTAGTCTTTGGAAGAAGGAAACTAGTGTTTGGATACAGTTCATTAAGAACATTATTGCTTCCAAACTAGCTGTCAGAAATGTAACCTAAGTCTTTTACTGTGTCTAGTGTAGAATTATCTTCTTTTTTTCTGCCCAGAAAGGTCATTTAGAAATATGAGAATGAGGGCAAGTGGAGGGGTGTGGAGTAGAGGAAAAAATTATACTGGTTAAAATATTTCTGTACATGTATTACTATCACAGCATACACATCTAAGCTGGTTAAGGCACAGTAACCTGTCAGTCTGTTGTGTGATGAGTATGTGTAACTCTCACCATGCCACCACTGGTTTATTTCCTCAGGGTTAGGGTCTGTTTTGGTAAGTCAAAATGCAACAAGTGTCTGTATGATAACCACAGGGAATGCAGGAGAATCGAGTGTAATGATCATAAAGGTGGTTTGTGTATTAAGATTGCTGATCTCATCTGGTGGACTCTTATAAAATATGATTTGCTGTTGTAACAAGGATCTTTTTTATCCAAAAAAACTTATATTTTATCATTTGTACAGAGTGGTTTCTGTTTCCTTTTATTTCTTGGTACTAGAAAGCAAGTTTTTTAAGCTAAAATTAAGATCTTATAAAGAAATTTTACTTAAAGGCTTATTTTTTTCCTCCGTCTGTCTGGTTTTTTCCTCCTTCCCCCTCCCCAGTATCACTTGTCCTACCCATTTTTATTTTTCATTTGTGTTTTGCGCCTGAAGGTTAGAAGAGGCTGACTGTGCTGGAAGTGACTGCCTGCCTTTTGATTATTCATGGACAGTAATAGAAGGCACTTAAAAAGAACAATGAAATTGCTTATTTTTGTGATGGGCCATCTGTTGAATTGTTTTTTGCAACAATCACACAATAGTATCTATGTCATATCATTCTATTTTCAACAGCAGCTGATTATGTATAGTTGGCTACTTGTCTTTATTTCTGAAGTCCCATGACCATTTAAATTCACCTCTGCAAACCTTTGCCTCAAAGGTAATAGAAATGTAAAACAGCCGGTGTGTATTTTCTTTCTATTTTCTGGGTTTTTTTCATGTTGCTTCTAATTAAGTAGGCCTCTTAAATGTTTAGGTCTGTTTTCTGTGTCTCCCACCTGTAGTTTTATAATAGAAGTTAACACAGAATCATTTAGCAATTGGAAAAGATATGGTGGAGTTCCGCAATAAAGAGTGGGCAAGTTTTGAAAGACTGTGGTACATTCGCTGCTTATTAATTATCCCTTTTATTTTTTTCTCACCAAGCAATAATTAGAATCTTTCTCAAATGGCTTTCACTAACAAGCATTTTTCCTAGCTACAAAGCCACTTGCAGATCTATTGCGGCAGAAGCTGAAAGCAAGATAAAACAAATGTGTTGTCTTCTACAGGTCACTGACATTGCTGATGCCATGATTCTGAAGCAGCTTTTTGAAAATCTCTTCCAAAATGGGGTTGTCGTTGTGGCAACATCTAACAGGCCGCCAGAAGGTAAAAACAAACATGCTACTGGTATTATCCAAATACAATGAATCTCAGTATCTTACAAAACAATTGTAGTAATATCATGCAGTATTTAATACTAATAAAATCTCTAGTCTGCAAGAATCTGAGATAGTCTGGTTTTTGCACCCTATTTTTTCTTGTTCTTAAGGAAGAAAGATTTTTACTAAATCATACTCCTCTTTTCTCTCAAACCCAAGGTGTTCCTTCCCCTGTCACTCTCAAATCCTCACATGTTTTCTGATCTCCTCTACTCTGTCCAAACCAGTGGAAGGGTATTTGAGGACAGGGATGTTGAGGAGGGGTAAAATACTGCCTATTGTGGATGTATGCCAGAATAGGAAAAGACCATATTCTGCAGAAGAGAGGGGAAGTGAGAGTACGATCCTTCCCAGTTTCTAACTCGGGAACTTGCAGACTTGATCCACCAGCTCAAAGCAGAACCACTTATCAAGATGCCATTCTTAAAGCCCAGTTTGAGTTCACTAGGAATTACTTAGGTGGAGAGTTGTTTCCATGTCTAACTTTTTTTAGAATAACTAGTCACTGGTAGTGACTAGCTAGGTAAATCCTTCTACAAAGTGCCCAAATCTGTTTGGGTTTTAACAACTGTAATTTTTTGTAGAGGAGAAAAATTTTTATATAGTGTAGCATTAGGAGTTAGCATAATGCGTAATTTCTATGCAACTTTCAGATTGATTACTTTGGAGTGTTTTTAAAAATACTGAAGAGTTACAGTATTAACTGTAACTACCAGTTAATTTTTCTTCCCAAATTAATTAAGGAAAAAGAAAACAAATCCACCCAAAGGTTTTTAGGTTTTTTCTACAGGAGTAAATAATTCCCTCTTGGCTTATTTTACTTGTTTGATCAAAGAAGATGAAATCATAACTACTGTAGTTGGGTTAACTACAGATAGACTGGATGCCTTACTCAGTTGAGAGCCATCCTTGTGTTTTTGGAGCACTGCTCTTTGAAGTTCAGGAGAAATTTTTATCATAACTTGGGAATTGTATTCAACATCCTAAATTGAGGGCATCAGTTTGTGACCATTATAGTCCTATGGGGTTTTTTGATGCATATTAAGTCACTTTATTGATCCAAAAGCCATGCATTTGTTTTAGCTGCCCAACAAAGAATGTCAAGAACAGCATCTCCACAACTGGACTATGTTGCAGTCCAGGTGTTGGTCAATGCCTGTCTCTTCCCTTGTCACTTCCTGCGTGCTCACGGCATGTCTGAAATCCTCCCACAGGAAAGAGAGCTGAGTCACTGTACTGTGCCACATCATGGTTTAAGAATGCATGGAGAGATTTGTTTCCTGTGGATACAAAGAGGAAAAGTGACCTTTTCATTAGAGGGCAGATGTACTGAGCTGCTGGACATTAGTGCTGTGCTTAACTGTGTTGAACTTCTGCCCCAGGGGGATGTGAAGGAAAATACTGAGGTGCAGTATTTGAGGAATCCTGGCTTCATTTCTCCACCAAAATTACTGTTTATTTTTCTCATCCTCAGAAAACAGAGACATAATACAGAACTCACAACCCTACTGACTAAAAGGCCTAACAGGAGTAGCTGCCTAATAGCGTTACATGTTCACTAATCTTTGCAAGTGAATATGCAATTGCTATACACTTTTAACAAATGTGTAGCCATCCCGATTTGCGGAGTTGTGAATGAGCGTGATGCATGGCTTCCTACAGCTTTGTTAGTGATTAGGGTGTGGAATCTCCTTCACTGATAATTTTCCTGAATATGTCTGTGTACATACCAATTTTGTGAAAACCGTTCTGTAGCTGTCGTGTTGGTGTCTTGTGCCTGCTGCATCTTCTGTCCACAGTGAAGTGGTGGCAGAGCATAAAGGCTTTAATATAGCTGTAGCCTTCAAGCATTATGGGGAATATAAGTCATAATCATAACCTGGAATGGTCTTTGTGTGGAATTTTTGTGATATCTCTACCAGGTGTCTGCATTATCTTACTCATTCCTCCCATCAGTCACAGGTGCTTTACTGCCTTTTTATAAGGCTTCGTAATATTCATGAAACAGAACAGCTCATCATGCAGTTCAAGTGTTACATTTTGAAAGAAGTCATTCTCTTATGAACTTCTTGGGCAGTTGAATAACTTGCAGAGAAGATAAATTTATGTTGTATAAATGTATGGTGATAAATAAGACAAAAAATGCTGCTTTGCAGTTGTTTTTGTTAATTTGTATTTTCTTTGAGTCCAGATCTGCATTTTGTTACGTAGTATCTCATTTTTTTAAAAAAATTCAGTTGTATTTTTAGCAACTTTGCCTAAGTTAACACGATAATTTAATTTTCATTTTTTTAGCCGCAGGGATGACCCTTTTTCTTGCTTCGGAAAAGGGGGTATACCTGGCAGAATAACTAGAAGATAAAGTGTACCACAGTACACAGAGAAAGAATGATGCTGACTTTGTAAACTTAAATTGTGTATTTTTAGTTTACGTGGGGGTTGTGCCCTCTGCCAAATACGCAGGATTTAGCAGTTGCAGTTTGGCCTTTTAATCATACCAATGTATACCCAGCATTACGAAATATTTTTATAACCTTACTTTAAAACAGATGATGGTCTAATTTCTTCTGTTACAATCACTTACATGTCATTAAGAGATCAAAATCATTTTTTCATTCCCTGCCTTTTTCAGACTTACTCAGGGTGTTCCTTTCTTCCTTAAAAATGTATTGAATTTACATATAGTAAAAGAAGAGAAATTAATTTCAGCTCTCCTTTTCTGCCTTTTGTTCCTCCTCCTGAGGAGGAGGAATCCTGAGATTTATTTGCTAGACTAGAAGACAAGCTGACATTGTTATTAAGTAGCAAAATGGTACTGATTTCCTTTCTTTCAGATCTCTATAAAAATGGTCTTCAGAGAGCTAATTTTGTACCATTCATTGCTGTGCTGAAGGTAAGGAGAGCCACCTGTTAAATGCCTTTTTTCCTTGTTTTATTAATAAATTGGAGATTTGTACAGGATTGCTTTGATGCTAGTTTCCAGATTACATATATGCTTTAACTATTTCGAGCAAAAATAATTGAAGGTAAGGCAAGAAAGGACTTTGTCCTTCTGGAATTAACATGTCTTGAAAGCTGGACATTTTTAGTATGACAAAAAATTATCTTTTGGGCTAAGGCAGCAGAATTTGTTTGTTTGGATAAGACTTTCTTGCTGGCTGGTGTGTGTATGCTGTATAACATAGTATGCCTCTAACATTAGTGTTGTACTTGTGGACATCTTACATTTATTACGCTACGAAAACTTGCCATTTCTTTGATGTAAGGAAAGTAGTGTTTGTTCTGTACCCCTTGACTGCCTTGCTTCTGGGTCTTTCTCCTGTGTCAGTAGGTTTTTGAATGACTAATTTTGAGGCTTCACGTAATGTTCAACAAGCAGCAGCTCTGAAGCTTCCTCGGGTCTGCGTCTTGTAGTGTGGCAGGTCAGAAACTGTAATTGCTTCATTTAAGTTAAAAAATTGAGGATCCTTTCTCTATGTGAATAATACAATCACTGCTTATTTTGCTGGTAAAAAGAACATATGCTGAAATCACACTTTTTAAGTTCTGGACAAGTCAGAGGTATTTTTCGTTCACAAGTTGCATTTGTGTTGTTATGAAGGGCTAACATACACCACTCATATCTTGCTCTGCCTGGATTGATGTGACATGTAAAATGGAAATAACAGCATTTCTCTAACTCACAGAAGTATTGCTAGCAATAATACATAAATAATGTTAACTATATTGATCTCTAAGATAAGAGAAAGGTAAGGTAGAGTTTAGGGTAGGCTTGGCTTTGTGATAGGAAATTTGGAATTGCTGAATAGACGCATTGGTTGGATGTTTCTGTTAAGGTGCTCAGCAGTAAAGCAGCAGACAGTGTCTTGGGTTTTCAGTGGGCCCTTTTTGAATCATGAGGTTGCTTGATTGCCTAAGCACATCTGATATTGCCATTTGAACAATTACCAGTTTTTGAAGTTAATATACTATTGACATTATTGTGGCACTCCTATACATCTTAGAATGGTTGCATATAAAGTTAGGGAGGTTACCAGTGAAAGTGGTTCTCACCTGGATGTGAGCTTTCTAGAAAAGTGAGAAACATAAAAATAAATGAACAACCACTACCATTTCAGGTTCTTGAAAAGGTTTGCTCTGTAGCTGGCTGCATTGGATACAGGAGAGCTCCCAGTCAAGAGTATTTTCACGAACAGAAGTAGTTCCATATGAAATTGCTTTTAGAAATGCAGCAACGGCAGCAAATCATTCTTTTCTATATATCTTCCCTTGTTGACTCTGAGTTTTCTTCTTGATAAGTGTAAGGCTCTTTAATTTCACCAATCATCAGATTTTAAGAATATCTGTCATGTATGCTTATTTGTAGTTTCCTTTTTTTCCTCTTTCTGTCTAGCTGAAGAAAAAAAAAAGGGAAATGTAGTTTATGCATGTAGAATACCTCATCAGGACTGGGAATGTGATCAAAATATTTTAGAATGGAATACAGAGAGAAGCACTGAAAATGGATTGTCTAGAGAATGTAGTAGTGCAACAAAAAATAAGTACCACAACCTAGACTTAAGGCAGATAAATATTTTCATCATAATGAATGGAGAAAAAAAAGTTTAACACTATTCACGAGGACCTTTCTAAAATTCTGGATTACCTGTCATTGTTCTTTTTCCCAACACCTTTGTGTTTTAATACTGCTCTTAATATATCTGCCTTCAGTGTCACTTTAATAAATGTTACCAGTATAATATGATTCTTTCCCAAAAACATAATGCCTGAAAGGTGGATTAGAGGAAGTTTATCAACAAATGCTTTGCTGACCGCTAACTGGAAAGTGGAATGGTAATGGCAAGATACTAAAAATTAATTTAAAAATGTAAGAATATACGTTTTTCATTTAACAGTTTTTAGAAGTAGGCATTAAAAACCCACAATGGAATGTTATCTAAAGTAAGATTTTAACAAATAACCTTTACATTACAAAGATGTGGATAGAACTACATTGATACTCTGGCTTTGGTGGTTTGAGAAATGCAGATTTAGGCCTCCCCAGTGTGTGTAGAATCTGTGTAATGGCATTGGTGTAAATGGATGAAGTAGCTTCTGCCTCAGCTGTGTGCGATTAGGAAGTGTAAACATGGTGTCTCCCAGCATTTTGTGTGAAAATACGAAGGAAAATACTACATTGTTTTTTTGCAAACATTTGATTTGTCTTCTCAACCTTTATACTTCACTCCAAGCCGTGTGTGTCTGTGGTAATGTCAGTCTCTTCTGACCTCTTCCCTGGCACTGGCTTTGCCAACAACCAGGACTAATTCCTGTCTTAGTTTTCTCTGGGCTCAGAGCCTCCCAGAGGGATTTTGTTTGGGGTTTAGTGGGGGCAAATGGGTGGGTTGGTTTTCTTTGTTTTTTTCAGTAATTAACTTTTATGATTGTAAATCTTAAAATGAAGTTTCAGCACTAAAAGGAGTTCAAGTTCAACATAGGAGCTTCAAATTCCTTGAAATGTTCTTAGGAAGGTGGGATGAATGAAAAGTATTGGCAGTATATTTCTGTAAAGAGATGCTTCATTTGAAATAGATTTCAGGGTGGTTTCATTCCTCATAAATGGAAGACATAGTTCCTAGATACCCAGGTAGCTTTTACAAAAATCTTTTCCTGTCTTCAAATGATGAAAAGAAATGGTTTCTTTTCTAGACCTATGCTCATCCTCAGTTGTTGTTTTTCTTTTCTGCAGTCCATGTAATTCCAGTATCTGTGTTTGAGTTCCTATTTTGTACAAAGAAAACTGAAAACCAGTTTCTGTGGAATAAGCTAAAGGGTGAAATAGCATTCTAGGGAAGCTACAATTGTCTTCCAGAGTTTGTCTGTATTGTCTTTCTAGGTGGTAGATTACTGGGGACAAGTGGTTGTTGAATGCCTGCAGTATGACGTTGCAGTTGATAAGTTCCAATTTTTAGGGACACATGCTTCAGGTTCCACAGAACCAGCCACAGAAAAGCCCCAGATCTGTGTTATTGGGTATGCCAGTAACACCACTGTCAGCTCTTTCTGACCTGTGTGTGTTCCCTGTCCGATTCTGAGCCTATCGCAGTGTTCTCATCTTTTAAAATCTTAAATAATTTGAGATGTAATTTTTCAGCAATTCATTGATCAAAGAGGTGGTTTTCATAAACAGGAGAAAACTCTGAATTGATCAGTTCATTGTTATGGCTATGTCCTAGTTACAGGGACTGGGAACAGTTTGTCACTATGCAGGTATACCCAAAACTGTGTATTCTACACCCTCTGTGTCGTTTCTGATGGACTGTTAATAATGGATCATTTGGAGCACACCTGACACCTCAGGCTACAACCTGGGTGTTAAAGAAACCCTTTGAGGAGTGTTTCTTTTGTTTTCACACTATAATAATAATAATGGCCAGTCTTTGCGAGCGAAGATCCGGGGAAGGTCTTTACACCTTCCAGCCTGCGCATTGGATTTTTTAGGTGAGACACAGTGTGCGCGGAACTGAGCCCACCCTTTAATCCTAAGGTTCATCTGCCGGGGCCAAGTGAGCTTGGACGGAGGCAGCGAGGTCCTTAGGACTAATAACTGTGGTAACAGCTGTGATAACTCCCCTCCAGGGAGGCATTAGCACCTTCACGCCCAGCCTGAGGGGTCATGTCTGCTAATGGGCCATACTGGACTGGCAGAATAGGCAGCTGCCAAGACCTAGACCATTAAAGACTCCAGAAATATCCCATGACTCACAGAGTTAAATCACCCTTTGTGAAACTGCCCACCCTGGGGGAGGTACTGGGCATTCCCACTTGAACCTGAGCATATATAAACTTTGGGTTTTGGGACTTCTGGTACCACTTGTTGGATCCAGAGGAGGACCAGAACTTCAACAGAACTGTGATCATCATCCAGACCAACAGGTTTTCCTTTCCTTTTACTTTGCACCTGCGGGGGTCCACGTGGTGCTCGGCACAGGGACCAACAAACACAGTTCTGTTCTTGTCCGAGAGTACTGGGTTATATATCTGTTTGTTGGGGGTGAAAACCAGTTTTTCTCTGTATCATTTGATTTATTGTAATCTTTTTTAGTAAATTGTAACTCTGGCTTGTAATCTCTCTAGAGTTGGGTTCATTTTTCGCACCAGTTTGCTCCTAAAGCAGCACAGGCTGTAATTCTTTGGAACACAGTATTCCTTATTGAACAGATAAGAGTGCTCCTTCAGTCCATGAAATTTTACAGAGATGGAGCTTTACAGAGATAAGAAGTATTAGGAAGAAAAATCTTTTAATTCTATAATTGTAATTAGATTCAATCCCTTTTGATTGAGCTTTAATCTTGCAGGATCTCTTACTGAGCATTTTAAAGTGCATGGAACTACTATGTGATTTTTTTTTTTTTAAGGCATTTCTTGAAAAGAGGAACATTCATTGCTCACAGTTACTTTGTTCAAATGCTTAGAGCATAAATACTGCAAAAAGCTTGTTAAGCTAACCAAAAAGAAATACATAAATTTTCTAAATGTTTTAAAGATGATTCACAAATTGCAGAATCAGCTAGGTTGTAAAAGACCTCTGAGATCATTGAGTCCAGCCTTTGACCCAAGACCACTATGGTTACTAGACCATGGCACTAAGTGCCACATCCAGTCTCTTCTTAAATACCTCCAGGGACGGAGAATCCCTGGGCAGCCCATTCCAATGTCCAATCACTCTCTGTAAAGAACTTCTTCCTAATGTCTAACCTTAACCTCCCCTGCTGCAGCTTAAGCCCGTGTCCTCTTGTCCCCTGGTTGCCTGGGAGGAGAGACCGACCCCCCCTGGCTACAACCTCCTTTCAGGGAGTTGTAGAGAGTGATGAGGTCTGCCCTGAGCTTTCCCTTCTCCAGGCTAAACAACCC